GGGGGGTTAGGGTTACAGGGAGGTCCTTCAACATGCAGCCTCATTCCGAAGCTCACCAAGGCAGCCTGAGTGCGAGGGAGATGAGTGAGATCTGGGAAGGGATTGCTCTTTAAGACTGGAAACCTCAGCCAGAAGTGGTGTCAGCACAGCTGTCATCCCAGCACTGGGGAGGCTGAGGCAGGAGGATCACCAGCCTGGGCTACATAGTGAGTTCAAGGCCAGCCTGAACTCTCTCTCTCCCTCTCTCTCTCCCTCTCTCTCTCCCTCCCTCCCTCTCTCTCTCTCTCTCTCTCTCTCTCTCTCTCTCACACACACACACACCCACACACACACACACACACACACACACCCCATAGCAGCAAGCAGCACCCTCCTGAGAGCCAGCTGAGACAATATCCCACCAATACTTCCCCCTACTCAGGCTACTCACTCATATTCACAAGATCTGAAAAACTACCATGGAAGTACAACAAAGTACAAGAAATAGGATAAGCATATTTCACTGAAGCCATGCATTCTGCCATCCATGTATGCCCTTCTTCAGGAGTCCATCTAGGACTGAGAAAGGCCCTTGCTGTTTGGGAAACAATCACACACTACCCTAGGCCTCTCTGGTGCCTTTCAGGAAATTTTGTTTCCTTTGCCCCATAAGAAAGCCTGGAAGGAGAAAAGGCTGTGGAATATGAACCCTGCTGTCCCCACCTCAGGTGATAATCAAGGCTGGCTTCCCCCAGGGCTTGCCGGCAGGATGTACTTTGAAATCAAAAGGGAGAGAAGGAAAGAGCCAAGGTGTTGATACAGGAAGGTGAAGAGCAGTCACTGGTGAGCAGAACTGCTATTCATTTCCTTTCTTCTACACTGTGACCTAAGTTGAAACCAGTCCTCATGCCAACTGAGCCATTCCTGCTGTGTGCCACACCCTCCTCCTGGGAACCACTTCAAAGTGAGCAACATGTGGTGCTGCTGGTGAGCTCACTCCTAAAGGGAGATGAGAGGCCACTGTCAGGCAAGTGAGGAGTTCTTCTGTCCTTGGGTGTTTGTAGCACCCAGCACCATAGCCACTCCAGCTTCCAGGTGATAAATTTAGGGGACCAAGGCTCACAAGTTAGTGTCAAGAGGATAATGCATATGAATACTGCACATCTCACACGGATGTAAGAATTGTGAGATGTGGTACTTCACAGTGCTACCTCTCTGCATCCATGTAAATTCCCAATTCCCAACTCTATGCAACCTAAAGCTCGCAAGAATCTAAAAGGGGTTCAGTGCTTATAGTTTCTCAGATTCGCCAGCTGCTTTTTCTAATTCTCTGGTGCTCCTTCCATGGAACCTGGATAACTTCCAAGGTCCCAATCTGTTGCACAGACCTTCCCAGTATTCTACTTCACTGACTTGACCATAAATGACCCAGATGACAAGCAGAACAGGATGGGAAGAACAGAGTCTACACAGAAGCCTGTAAATGGCTAGAGGCAGTCAGACTTTTCCTAAGCAGTCCCGTAACATCAAGCTTCCAATGTCCCTGCAGTACAATTCCATCAAATAAACAGCTGACAAGTCAGTCCTCTCCAGGCAGAGGCCACGGCTCAGCCAGACTCCTAGAGCCACACTCGCTGCCCTTCACTCTCTAGCAAGCCCACTGAAGCTGCACCAGGCACACGCCACAGTCATCTGCCCAGCTATCCGCACAGATTACTCCTGACCTCCCTCCCACATTGCTCCTATTTCAGGCTGCCTTTACTTATTTATTTATTTTTCAGGCCATCATTTAAAAAAAAATATGAGCCTGGAGTTTCTGGAATCTGGTTTATAGTCCACTTTTGTCCTCAACAGATCTTCAACTGTAGATCAACTGAAGATTACCTTCCAAGTCTTTCCTTTTATCTAGGCTTCAAGGAAATGGGTAGAAACATAAAAATACAAGTAAATTTTTGATGAAAAATTTTCAGAAAGCTTCCCCGAGGCACACAGAAAGAGGATGTTTGGTTTCTGTTGTGAGTTTGGACATTGTTCCCAAGATTCCATCTCAGCTTTGGAGGCCATGACTTTTATAGAGCATGTTTATCACAGGACTAGAAAGGAACGTTCTTCCTAGAATGCAATTTAAATAAAGCCTGACTCCTCACTCTGCAGCAACAGGCCACACTACAGTACACTAGCAGCACACTACTGCTAAGGCCAACTGTGCAAGAGTTAATGGAGTCCAGGGTCAGCGCAGCAGACCTCTCAGCATCCTGCCAGTCCTAAATGAGATAAAACTATGAGACAGCTAATTCAGGTTCCCTAGAGCAGAAACTTGCTCAACTGCAATATGGGAGAAAAAACAGTTGAGGCCTCCATCCCTATTACAAAAAAGGTGCCCTTTCTTGTACTATTAGGATAAGCAGTTTTCCATGAAATCCTGGAAAGACTTTAGGGAAAATTCCAATCAATTAATTCATTGATTAGTTTGTGAGATCAGGTCTCACTCTAGTCCAGGCTGACCTTGAGTTCCTGGGCTCAAGTAACTCTTTTGTCTCAACCTCCCAAACAGCTGGGCCCACAATCGTCTAACACCATGTCTGAGAAAAAAACTTTTAAAATATGCCAACAGGCCCCCCACCCCATACTTTCGCTTGAAACAATACCATAGTTCTCATGTAACATTTTCCTACTTCCTTTGAGAGTCTCTACTCTCTCGGTCCTGATGAAGTCTGGGCTCTCCCTCCAATGGTCATGAGGTGGCATGCTACCAAAAAGCCAATGAGAGACAGATGTCACAGCAGCAAAGCCCCAACAGCTAAGGCACCTAAACAACTTAACATTAGCTAGTTTTAACACCAAATCAACAGTCTACCCTTTTAACTGGTTTCTCAAATCCCCAAGAGTTCATGGAATCACAATTGTCTGCTAAGTGTTTTGTCAGAGTCACTACTTGAAGGAGCACAGAGCCCTCTTGCCCTGGGAAGCCAGGACCCTCCAATGCAGGCCTGATCCTGGCTGGCCCAAAAGCAGGGTCAGGCTGGCAGGTCGGGGGCAGCAGCCCAACCTGGTCCCTGGCAGTTCCTTTACCTGTTTCCACTGGGGGATGGGAGCAGGGCGACCCTGCTCAGGCAGGCGGCAGAACGGCTGGCTGACCCCACACTCTTGTGTTGGCTGTGACACACAGGCCAAGTGTGGGTGGGGACAGGACATGGAGACAAAACAAAATAAAATACATTAAGATAAAAGAAGATACAAAATAGTACTCATGGAGGGTAGATACACCACTACAAACTGAGACGTGTGTATGAGTTATGAATCAATTCTTAGAAAGTTACACTTAAAAAGGAAAGAAAATACCCCACCCGCCAAACCAAAAGGAAGTGGAAAAAAGAAAATAAAGAAAGGAAAACAGAAGCTGTGATTCTTATTACCCTTTTCCCAGAGTCAATGCTCTGACTCTAATTTACTAATTTTGATTCAGAAAACTAATCTCTTCCCCCAAGTGAGAAGCAATGTCTCTTACAGGCAACCTTCCTTCAGCCTTCCTGAGGTGGGTGGAACCCCAGCTGCCAGGCAACTTCTTCTTCTTCTTCTTCTTCTTTTTTTTTTTTTTTTTTGTACCAGGGATTGAACTCAGGACCTTGTGCTTGTGAGGAGGTGGCACCACTGAGCTAAATCCCTGGCCGAGCAGGCAACTTCTAACGCTTCCTACCAACCAGTGCCATCTTTCCCGTGAACCATAGTGGGGAAAGATTGAAGTGCAAACACCAATAACTAAAGACGCACTGTGAGAAGTTACTGCAGTGAGGCTCCAAGCAGGGACGGTAGCTGATGAAGATGAAGAGAAAGAACGAAGAGAAAGGGCCTTCTGTTCTCTGGATGCTCTTCCAGATAATCAGGGAGTTTTGTTAGAAACTTTCAGCATGAATCTCAAACTCCCAGCCCCTCCTCTTGTTAAGGAGTCTTGGTGACTTTTACATGAGCGAGAAACGAGACCTAATGAGGTCACCTTGGGTCAAATACTGTCTGGCACTCTCATGCATGACTTACAGGGAGCAATTCAGTATCTAAAATGTTCACATTCCTAGTAGTATTTTAGGAAAATAATCTGCAGCACACAAAAGCAGCTTTATCCCAAGAAGGTTTACCTCTGTCCCTTATCAAGAAAGATGATAAACAACTAAAACAGCAACTAGACCAACAGTTAAGAAGCATGGTACTAACACATTTTAGAAGATGTTTATGAACAGTTTGGAACAACATGGGAATGAGCCTAAAATTAAACAGAAAAAGCAGAACAAAAAAATGTATATGTTAAAATGATATTCATTATGACAACAAGAATGCACAGAAAAAAGGAATGTAGCAAAATTATCCAAAGAATTATATAAGCGCCTTAATTACCTTTATTATACTTTCAATGTACTATACTTTCAGTATGTATATGAATTTTTACTTACGTATTGACACATAAATACACAATTTTTAGATCCCCATGCTGCTTTTTGTCACAGACGCTGAGGATAAAGCAACCTGAATGCTGAGGATAAAGCAACCTTGAACATCTACCATGAATTTAGGAAATGCTCCTCTCTGTCAGTCAGATGAAGGAAAACCAAATTTCAATCTCGAGCCCCTGAGTTCCAGGGTCTGTCACAAGGCCCACCTCATTAAATTGAAAAGATTCTTCTTCCCATGTGGCCTGGCCAATAGGATGGGCAAGTGGGAGATGGGCTTACCTGCCTCCTGATGCCAGTGGACTGGGCAGGTGCATTCTCTTCGAATTTGGCCAGTAGCTGGGTTGCCATGTATTTCACTTTGTTTTGGTTCCCAGCGGCAACATCCATCCTCCTGTCCGTCAGAGTGCTCACCAGTGTCGGTCTTTCTCCTCGGTAGGCTCTGGAAACCTCTTCCTGCTGAACAGCAAGCACCTCAGAGACAGACTCTGTTAGAGGACTCCCACCATTTGCTATTCCCTCCAAGCGGTGTGATCAGAATCTACACAGTGGCTTGGGTTTGCCAGTACTTACTGAGGTGCTAATTTCAACAGCCAGCAAGAGCATGGCACACTGGGCAGACTGCTACTCAGCTCAGACTTGTGTTGGTTTCGCCATAGCCCAAGAGAGCCACTGTGCCTTACTAAATGTGATTCCAAAAGACCAGAAGGCCTGAGAGCATGTGTATATATTCCCTCGGTGCTCTCCATATAATTAAGCAAAGTCAAAAGCCAACAGAAAAGGCATCTGCCCATGGATATTCTCATAAAGAATGAATATGCAAGGGGCTGGGGATTTAGCTCAGTGGTTCTAGTGCCTGCTTCACAAGCGCAAGGACCTGAGTTCAATCCCCGGTACAAAAAAAAAAAAAAAAAAAAAAAAAAAAAAAAAATAAAAAAAAAAAAAAAAAATTTGGGATGCAAGGGGCTGGGGATTTAGCTCAGTGGTTCTAGTGCCTGCTTCACAAGCGCAAGGACCTGAGTTCAATCCCCGGTACAAAAAAAAAAAAAAAAAAAAAAAAAAAAAAAAAAGAATGAATATGCAAAGATCATAGTACCAATTTGGGAATTAAGAATTTAAACTAGAGGGGGAATTTGGCATAACCACTCTAACAAATCACAGATAAATCTTACCTCCTCTGATTGACTAGTCTTTCTCCTCTTTCCAGCTCCATCCAAGTCCTTTTCTTTCTTATCCTGTACCAGAAGAGAAGGGGAACTGCATTATTCTAGGAACCTCACCTTGCCATTCCCTTTGCAGCTGTCAGTATAACAATCCCTGTATAGATGTACCTTGGGAGAACGTTTCCGAGAGATGGTCTGCCCGAGTTTGCTCAGGAAGGAGATGGGGGACTTGGTGCTGGCAAGCAAGACCGCTTTCTCCTCAGCATTCAGGAGGTCCAAGGTGTCTGTGAACAGAAGTCAGCAATGTTCAAGGACACTCCTGGAGGGCCACAAAGTCCTAACCAGAACACTGTCCCTTGCAGAGCGATTACAGGAGGGAACTTTCCCTCAGGGAGCTCTAAAGGCTCAGTGACTATGACAAAGCATGCAAATTCTGTAGGAAATGCCACACACACACTTCAGTTATAAGACCTGAAATTTCACTTTTCAAAAGCTAGAATCTTCCTGTGATCATCAGAGCAGAGTGTGGAAGCCTCATCTTGGTGAGGAAAATTTCAGGCAGAGAGGAAAAGGGAGAAAGGACAGCAGAGAAGTGCATAACTCAGGGTCTGCTTTTGGTGGATGCAGAGGCCAGGCTCTAAGCTACGGGCAAAAAGCACTCTCCCTGAAAGGTGTACTCATGTTAGAGCAGTGCACTTCTGTGGTAAGAACTGCCTGTGTAATCGGGAAAACCAGAGATGCCTAAAAGAGTTCAGAGGCTAGAAAGCACTGGGGATGGCACCATAAATTCTGGGGATTGCAATGTGTTACTATAGCAATAGTAATTTTAAAAATAGCACTTAAAGGTTATTAATAATATTGCTAACATTCGTTAAGTGCTCCCATTCGTCAAACACTCTTAGCATATCACGTGTAAACTGTATAAAAAAATATATATATATATCCTAGTTTATGTATGGGAGAACTGAGGCAAAGGAAAATTTAGTAAGTTGCCCCCAGGTTCAACATGGAAGTTCTAGCATGTAAACCTAGGGTAAAAACTCTTAAGTCTGGGTCAGAGATTTAGCTCAGTGGTGCCGCACCTGCCTGGAAGATCCTGAGTTTGATCCCTGGTACCAAAAAACAAAACAAAACAAAACTCTTAAGCTTTAACTACATCTACTTCTAGGGTTAATAAATGACAACAGGAATAATTTTTGTAGTGCTATGATAGATTGAAGCAGAAGGCTGAGGGCTAATAAAAGATTTCTGGGAAATCCTAAGAAGTTGGAATAGAAAGACGAGCCAGAGAATAGTGGTAGAAGAAAGGAAAATAAATCTAGCAAGGCACAGGGTCACAGAGCCAAGGACAGAATTCCAAGGAAGTGGACATCATCCCACAATGCTAAATGATGTGGAAAAGCCAAGTGCAAGACTGATGAAAAATCAGGGAGGAATATGGGTATGATGATACTTTTCAACTGCGGAGAACAGCGTAAAAAGATGGTGGATGATGAAATGTTACAGATTAGGTGGTAAGCACACCGAGACCACAAGTGTGACCCATTTCTTCTGAAAGGCTGGTTCTGAGAGAAAGGATAGGAGAAGACAAGAAAATCATGGAATGAAAGTTTAGACAGAGGCCTGGGGATGTAGCTCTGTGGTAGAGCTCTTGCCAAGTGTGTGCTCAATGCCCTGGGTTCCATTCCCAGCACTGAAAAAGGAAAGTTTGGACAGGAATGATTTTGCATATTTATAGGTTAAATGAAAAAGATGTAGAAAAGAATGAGTGATTGAGAATATACTACTGAAGAAGGGAAACAAACACTTCTAGAGACTTCCTCTGATGGTCAACCAGTTACACCAGAATAAGTCTGAGCTCGGTGGTACTACTCCATTTAGTGGTACTGACGAGGGGCACAGTTGACAGAAAAGAAAAGCCAGACAACAACACAGCAGGAAACAGACACCCTTACCACTGGAGGACAGTGAGTCCTTGAACATCTCGTAGAACTGAGTCAGGTACATCACCATGGACAATTTGTCAGGCTCCCCCACCGAGGCCATGTCTTTGCCTGTCATGATGGGGGAAATGCCCAGTTCCTTCTCAGCAATATCAAAGGCCAGCTGGTTATTCTTCTCCACATTCTGCTCATCCAAAGAATCAAAGTCTCTGAGAAACAGGATATGCAAAATTTATGAAGTCAGGCTGATTCTCTTCAAACCAGAAAACACAGTTAGCACGAAGTTACTATCATTTCTCATTTGACTTTTGGCAGGGAGCAGTGCACTGATGGAATCTGAGAATAAACTGTTAATCTATTATTCTCCTTCCTTTTACTAAGGAAATGTAAAGCAGCCTTAAGAAGAAATGATTAAAAATCTACCCAATGTAAGGAAAAGAGAGGGAAAGCTGAAGAGTACACAAAGTTCTTACTGAAATGTACACTCAGGACAGGAACTCTCTTTCCTACGTGTTCTCTTGCACCTCTGTGTCCATGCATGTTAAACAAATGTCAAACAGTGAGGAGAAGGCTACCTGGAGCAGATGCTCCTAAAGCCTGGGGTAATCGCCTGCCTGGGAGTCACACGCTGGCAGGACAAGCTGCTCATGTCACAAGTCAGATCTGGTAAATCTTACTCAGCCTTCCTTGGGGAAATTCCAAAAGCTCTCCAAAGGTTTTCCCAATGCTAAATTTACTGAATTTTCCCAAGTATTTAGCTTAACAAACATTTCCCACTGGTCTTCAGCTTCTTGTTTTTCAGAGTAAGCACTGATAGCATTCTTCTTTGGGAGAATTCAGATCAACTCAACAGTCCCTATTTTATGTTAACTGCACCCCATGGCACTTTTCCACTGCCTGTTAAACTATGGACACTAATCTTGAATGAGGTCATTATAGTCCAAACAATGCCAAATACTATACACTAAACAATTCTTTTTCCTCAAGCTGCTTTCCCTCTCACACTTTCTTTGGTGGGAGTAAGCAAGCATTATCTTCATTTACTTTTTACCAACTTGATAAGTTAAGTGACAGGAGTACTGCATTTACTTTTAACCAAGCACCTCAGAAGTCTCCCTCCCCTGTTTTTGGCAACACTAGGAAAGCAACTCAGACCCTCAGGCATGGCAGGTAAGTGCTATACCACTGAGCCTCAGCCCTCTCCATCTTTAATCCACACAGTACAGGCTGTTTTTAATAAATCTTGCCTCATTAGCCTATAATGGTCACAAAAAATAGGGACTATGTCTTTTTGGATTTCTTAAGCTATCATTAAAAGAAAATAAACCAGAAAAATTGGGCCCTTAAATGGATCCAATAATAAAAATGTCAAGCAGTCGGAGTAATCTGACATGCTTAGCTTTTGTTCCTGAATCTTTTTGTTTGGCTTCCATGGTAACAAACTCCTATAGGGGAAATCTGAGAGCACTGGTCACTGCAGCAGACCTGGGATCATCCTAGTGCACCAATTTTGCAGACAGGTGACTGAAGAACAGACAAAAGAGGAGATGTTACAGGTACAGTGGGTAAGATGACAGGAACTTCATGAACTTGATGAAATATGTTGGCAAGAAGTGCAGATTTTAACAAAGAAAATAATAGTGAATGATCATAAATCAGGTGAGTATTCATTGTTTTGTTTCTTTGGTAGTGACATATTTGTGTTGAGCTAGCCAAATGTTTCAGCCAGGTTTCCCTTGTGACCACCAATAGCATCTGAGAGATAGCTGGCCAAAATGAAGAGTTCAACTCGGGGCCGATAAACAGTTTTCCTTTGTGTGAAGTTAACAGGCCCAGTTTTTAACCCTGTGAGTGCTGTGGTTTTTAAAAAACAGCTAACCATTCCTGAGTTGAGTCATATAATGGTTGACATATGAAGTTTTACATGTAAGTAAGCCAATATACCAGTTTTCTGGAGAGAGCATCTTACTATGCACCCTATCCTGGGAACAAGTATAAAATGTGTCTACTTGACAGGGTGCATTGAGGTCCTTGGGAGATAGGAAATGAAATGCAAAGTGTAGTCACGACTTACATCAGATCAGGGCGGTATCTGTGGATAATTGCACATAGGGCCAGGCCACTTTTCCAAGACATGGTAAGATCTGTCACATTTACTCCTGCATAACCATCTGTCTGCCTTTGGCACCAACCCAGCAGTTTGCTTGAACGAGCTACAGACTCTATAACAACAAAAACAATTGTTAGAAGTGTGTTGACCTACTAAGGTTGATATAGGATCCTCTCTGTGGTACACACAACCAGTCTGAAAAGTCACTGAGGGTTAGGGACAAAATAGCCATTACCAGCTTTCAAAATAAAACAGTGATGAATAAGGTTATGTAACTAGTATCTTGGGAGTGGGATTTTAGGTGTTAATTTATCCAGATTCAAGGGCTATCCCCTTAACAGACTGGTGTCCCACACCTGAGTGACACAGACTTGCTCATACTGAAGCCCGGGGTCCCTGCACCCCTCCTGGAAGCTCTGGAAATGGAGGAGTGCCCCCTACTGAGCTGTCACCCTCACTATAAAGTCTCTAGGATTTCCCAGGAGAGCTGCTCCGCAAGTGCCTGAGGAGGCCTTTTCCTCCAAAGCAACGCTAGAAAGATTAGATTAGAAAAGGTTCCATTCTACCTAGCAGCCATTCTATCTTGCACTATCTTAAACTGAAAGCAAACAAAGCCTTGCTCTCACACTTCTCAGGGAACCATGCAATTTTTCAAGTGAGGAAGCTGCAGGTTACACTGACAAGGCTGTGAACTCCAGGCCAGAACAATCCTCCCGCCCCCATTTGGCACTCTGTATTATACACAATCATATCAAACCAAATAGGCAAAATGTATCCTTAGACATTGAACAGTCTTCTAGAACCAAACAGCTTTGCATAGAAGAGCTCCGATAAGGATCATTTAAGAGAATCTGTGAATTCCTACTTGTATCCAGGAAAATCTGTTCCCTTCCCTCAGGCAGCTGAAAATATTTAGCTTTGCACTAAGTCATTCAGTGGTTTGTGAACATAAAATAACTGTGTATCATAAAAATCCTGTTTTAAATCTTTTACTGTGGAAATATGTTCTGAGACTACACACAGAACCACTCTTGATGCCATCTGTTGGCTCAGATACTAACGTTATTCAGCTGTTTCCCAAGTCTGTATATCCATCTATTCAGTATGTACTGGGCAACTTCACTTCAATATTTCAGGCTTTAAACTAATGACTGTGAACAAACATATATTCTCTGCTTTTAGGGAGATGACAACCTAATGGAGAATGATGAAAATGTTTCTAACTGCCTGATGACCCCCACTCATATCCACCCTGACATCCCAAAAGCACATCAAATTTAAAATGTCCAAAATAGAACCCACACCCTCTCTTACACCTTCTCAGCCTCCCACTTCCTCGTTTAGACTGATGCAGAACCAACCACAAATACCCATCTCATGACCCTAAGGCAATCAACTGCCAATGCTTATGGATTCTGGATTCTTAATACTCTCTCCCAAATAATTAAAAATGTCAGGGACACAAATGCTGCTGTTGTTGACAGCCCACTAGATGCTGGGCATGGTAATCAGTGCTGTTATACATGTCACAGAATCCTCATAATCATAGTGTGAGCACACTGTCATCACTCCTATTTCAAAGATAAGGAAACTGAAAGTCAGGGATGCTAACTAATAAGGAAACTGAGATCCACAGATGTTTGTAGATATTTTACAAATGGCAAAGCTTGGGTTGAGACCCAGTTGTATAGGGCCTCCAAGTCTGAGTCCCACTAACTGTGACCCGCTGCCTTCTCCTTTCTCTATCGGCCAGTTAATATCAGAATCGGGCCTCTGCCGCCTGTAGTTTGACTACTGGAATGAATTTCTAACTAGACTCCCTTCTCTGGTGGCTTTCCCTTCTCTAGTCCTTCTCACATGTAGCTAACCGGGTATACTCAATGTCACTCTCCTTTCAAAAAAACATCTTCATGGGCTGGGGATTTAGCTCAGTGGTTCTGCCGCCTGCCTCATAAGCACACGGTCTTGAGTTTGATCCCTAGTACAAAAAAACAAAAAAACAAAAAACTATCTATCTATCTATATCTTCAGGGACCTTTAAATACACAAAAAATATGGAATGGTCTTTACTTTTACCACTGTATAATGGCACTGTCACAGGACCCAAATAAACGTCACAAATTCTACAAAGTTTTGCCCCCAAGCCTTAAGTGTGTGCATAGGCGCACTGGCTCTCATACTTTTCTTCTTTTTCTGTCTCCAGTATCTATTTCCAACTTATATCTATATCCTCACAATCAAGATGATTTTTTCTTGTGTGGTCCTGCTTTGTGCATTGTAGGAGGCTTAGTAACATCCCTAGGTTATCCATTAGATGAAAGTGGCAACATCCCCCGTCAAGACAACTAAAACTCTCCCCAGAACAACCAAACATCCCCTGGAAGGCCAACCACCCCAGCTTGAGATCCACTGCCTTAAAACAGGTATGCTGGCACAAGGAATGGGTGCAGACTTCTATGAATGTGGTACTTGCCTCTCAGAAGGCCACTACCAGAACTCACCATTTCGGGTTAACTTTGGGGTAGTTCGGGAATTCACCAGGTTCTCCATTTCCAGGTGAATATCTTTTGTTTCTCCAGTAGCATATAAATGGCACACCTGGAAGAAAGTTGGAAAGTTGAAAGGATGGAAAAAATCAAACATTAAGGTACAAATTCTAGCTAAAAGTAGGATGACTAAGATGAAAGACTGGGGAAGCAAGATGTGTAAAGTCTGTTGTGTGTGTGGGGGGGTTGCTGCGTGGGGGGCAGTGAGGAACCCAGGAACTTAGCACACCCTCTACCACTGAGCTGTACACCTAGCCCTGTGATAAAGTTTATACTGAAGTTATAATGACGACCTTCGATAGGTTCCTGCTGGCTTGTACCACTGGTGGTACATGCAGTTTGAATCAACCAAAGGGACTGTCTGATACCACCTAATGGGACAGTCATGCATGTACCAGCAGTGGTTCAAGTTGGCGAGAACGTAACATGTTCAAATCACAGCTGCTCAGCAGCAAGACATACAGATTATAGTCTCTTCATGAATGTGTTACATCCTTTATGGGATGAGATAGGTTATATGGAAATAAACACATATTAACTACATGAAGCTATGTTAAAAGTTAGGTAGTACCAACAGCCAACACATATTAAATGGCCAAAAACTGAAAACCTTCACATTAAAACGAGGAACAATACAAGGATGCCCACTATCACCACTCCTGTTCAATATAGTTCTGGAAACATTAGCCACAGCAATTAGACATAAGAAAGAAATTAAACAATAAAGATAGGAAAGGAAGAAGTTAAACTGTTATTATTTGCTGATGATATGATACTCTACATAGAAGACCCAAAAAACTCTGCCAAAAGACTTTTAGACTTAATTGATGCCTTCAGCAGATACAAGCTAGATAAAAGGTCAACACTCAAAAATCAACAGCCTTCTTGTACACAAATAACAGACTCACTGAGAGAGAAATTAGGGAATTCTTTTCATAATGCACCCCCAAAAATGAAAAATCTAGGAATCAATCTAACGAAGGAAGCAAAAGACCACTACATTAAAAACTACAGCACTCTGAAAAAAAGAGATCAAAGAGGATATAAGAAAATGGAAAGATATCTCCTGCTCCTGGGTAGGAAGAATCGACATAGTGAAAATGGCCATACTACCAAAACTGCTATACAGATTCAATGCAATCCCAATTGAAGTTCCAACAGTATATTTCACAGAATTACAGAAAATAATCCAAAAATTCATTTGGAACCAGTAGAGATCTGGAATAGCAAAAGCCATTCTAGGCAAAAGAGACATGACAGGGGATATCACAATACCCAACTTGAAACTATACTACAAAGCCACTGTGATAAAAACAGCACAGTACTGGCAAAGAAACAGACCTGAGGATCAGTGGAATAGACTGGAAGATACAGAAATAACTCCAGATGTACTGAGCTACCACATCTTTGACAAAGAGCCAACTATCCTCAGTGGAGGAAAGATAGCCTCTTTAATAAATTGTGTTGGAAAAATTGGATTTCAACCTACCAAAGATCAAAACTAGACCCTTATTTTTCACCATGTACTAAACTAAAATCCAAGTGGATTAAAGATCTAAGTATTAAAACAGAAACTCTAAACTTGCTAGAATATAAGTTAGACAGAGCCCTTGAAGACAATGGCAAAGGAAAAGACTTTATTAACAAATCCTAACACTAAACTTGCTGGAAGATAAATTAGGCAGAACTCTTGTTGAAGACATTGGCATAGGAAAAGATTTTATGAACAAATCCTCAGTAGCACAGGAACCAGCAGAAAGAATCAACAACTGGGACCTCATCTTATTAAAAAGCTTCTGCACTGCAAAAGAAACCATCAACAGAACTAAGAGACAACCTACAATGTGGGAAAAAATTTTTTACCAGCTGCTCCTCAGACAAAGGACTACTATCGAGAATATATAAAGAACTCAAAACACTCATCCCCCTCCCCCCAAATATAAAGACCCGATTCAAAAATGGGCATCTGAAATGAACAAACATTTCTCAAAGAAGTAACAGCAGCAAATAAATTTATGAAAAAAATGTTCAACATCATTGATTATTCAAGTGATGCAGATGAAAACAACACTGAGATTCCACCTCATCCCAGTAAGAATGGCTGATATCAAGAAATCAACTAATAACAAATGTGGGTGGGGTTGTGGGGAGAAAAGAACACTTCTTCATTGTTGGTGGGAGTACAGACTGGTGCAACCACTGTGGAAATCAATATGGAGATACCTCAAAGAATTAGGATTAGAGGTTCCATTTGACCCAGCTATCCCTCTGCTGGGTATCTTTCCAGAAGAATTAAAAGAAACATACCACAGTGATATATGTGCACCCATGTTTATAGCGGCACAATTTATAATAGCTAAAACTTGGAAACAGCCCAATTACCCATCAGTTGGAGACTGGATAAAGAAGATGTGGGTTTTTCTATAAAATGGAGTACTTCTAAGGCATAAAAAATGAGAAACTAGAGTCATTCATAGGAAAATGTATGCATATTGAGGCCATACTCTTAAGTGAAATAAATAAGACACACATGTGTAAATACTGAATAGTTTCTCTGGTGTGAAAAACTAAAGTGTAAATAAGATCCAAATTGTATAACTGATAATGTGAAATAAAGAAAAGGGCTAAAGGCATAGGGCAAGTGGGAAGAGTAGGGGAAAGGCAATAAGGGAAAAGAAAAAATATGAGAAATGGAAAAAATGGAAACAAAGTCTTTGTAAATAGGGGAGGGTAGGTAGGGGAAGTGAAGGGAGGGGGCAGGGGTATGGGGAAAAATGAGAACCAAGATGTCATGTAAAGGCACAAGATCCCAGTGATGAATGTAACTGTACTGTATACCTAAAAAGTACTAAAAAACTCAATAAAAAAGAAAAAAAAATACAATGCAGAAAAAAAAATGTAGGTAGTCAGCCACAGAGGGCCATCTGGATAGTCTCTACTGGACAATTAAGGCTGCCCATTAACAGCTGACTTGGACTTCTGAAAGTGTATATATGCAAAGGCATATGGAATTACTAAAAGTGTGTATGGTATTAATTCCAACACAGTTACAGACATCTGGATATATCAGAGTTCTGAGCAGTCCTGACAATGGACCCACATGTACATAACCGACTAGCAGGCTCTTACCTGGCTTGGCCGGAGGAAGTTGACATTAATATTGGGATACCTAGTGACAGGGTTGATGCTGTATTGGCTGAAATTTTTGCTCACATTCTCAGGGGTGGTCTGAGGCAGCAACCTGTAAATGCTTTCCCTGCAAAAATACGCACAGCACACTCAGAGCAATGACAGGCACCATAAACATGTCCTTCTTCAATTTGTTTTGACAGTCTACCAAGTTATCTGACAAATATGACAAATCTTCATCCTTGAGACCTTCCCTCTGATCCTACATCTGTCCCAGGTGCCCAAATGCACCTCTCGGTGAGTCCATGGGCCCTGGACCAGCTAAGAGCTAAAGAGAAGAAAAGAGACAACACTATGGGTAGTGACACAGGCCTGGCTTTCACTGGCTTTTCACTCAGTTTTTCAAAAATACCAATATTTAATTTCTTAAGAAGAAAAATCACAGGTGAGAAAAGAACTTGCTATCACATTTAGCCAAAACTCTTTAAATAACAGATCTTAAATGATATCAACTACCAGTTTCATGTGGGAAATTTTCTCTCTAGTTCTCTTGGTCAAGATGTGAAGTTCTTTATCAATAAGAAAATCCGAGGGTTTTTACTTCAAAGCACCTGACATTTTAGGGGTTGATACATGTTGACAAGCAGTTTGGAGTTTTCCCCCGAATCAGTCGTTTTTAATTTCCCAGTACCACACTGACTTCATTAGTCTATCTTCCTGGCTAAAGGACAAGAGGATCTGATTTGCTGTTTTCATGTATTTTCTCATGTAATTATAAAGGAATCGGATATCACTGTTCAATGGAATACAAAGATTCAGATATTATTTTTCAGTAGTAAATTCCTTTTTGTTTTGTTTTGGGTTTGTTTGTTTGTTTTTTGAGATAGGGTCTTGCAATGTAGTTCAGGCTGGCTTTGAACTCACTATGTAGTCCAGGCTGGCCTCAAACTCATAGTAATCCTCCTGCTTCTGCCTCAAGTGCTGGGATTACAGGTGTGCATCAACAGGCCTGGCATAAATTCCATTTAGAAAGGGCTAAGAGGGCACTGTGGCTTTCCTCACAATAGACCATCTTGTATCCCCCAGGGAGTACTTTTATCTTGCTTTTTCCTTTTTTGTTCAGCCCAAGCTCATTCTGCAGAGCCAGATTCTCCCTTACTCTCTTCACTTTTACTTTTTCAAATAACTTTGTCACCATTAAAAAGAAAAGAAAGGGATAAGAGCAGACAGATCATCTAGGTTTTCATGATTTCATGAAATAATATCTTGCTTTACCTTTCTTAAAGTATCTTTATAAAGAAAGGAAGAAAGAGCTAAGGGGGAACATGGGCTGCCCAAAGAGCCTGCCACCCCCCTCATTCTGGTCTGCTCATGGAGCCTGGGCTTTCTATTACCTCTCTGCCAGGACTTCCAGGGGGCTGGCTCCCAGAGACCAACTTCGTACCATCCAGGCAGAGTCCATAGCAGCTAGGAAGCCTCGGGCTATTCCTGTTCCCATTGGCCAGAAAGGCTACGAACAAGACACAAAACAGAATTAAAATGATCATCTTTTAAAACAGGAAGGATAAAGAACAAAGAAAGATCTTGCTAATGACAGTCAAATCTGGCTACTGTTTGAATGCTGGACTTCTCTATTTTAGATACTGGGAGAGGGCAAGTAACCAGAGTTGAGGGATTTCCACACTCTCTTAACAAGCCTGGGGACCCAGGGCCTGTGTCCTTCCTCTCCTTGCAGCCGGACCCTTGCAGGGAGCTTGCTCAGGCTGGAGACACTCACTTCACAACCCAGGACACCCAGACACGTTCCTCACTACCGCTCATCCCATAAAGCACTGCTACCTCGGCACTCACCTCTAGGAGGCTGTCCCCTACCAGAGCCACTAGCAACCGATGTCCATTCTGCTCCCGTACCAAGGCAGCGTTCTCAGAGGCGTACATGCATGTGAAATCAAACATGGCCACGTCGGGCTGCCCGTAGTGGTTGATAGCAAAGTCCAGAGAGGGCAACTGCTGCTGGGTGGAGAAATCTGCTGCCTCCCGGGCGTAGTTCAGCAGGGCCTCTTGGTCCACATTCTCCCGGGAAAGCAAGAGTTCAGTGTCGGCGTAGTCCTGGCCAGAGAGAGATGTACAGTATGGAACAGCCCCGGCAGGGACAGAGGAGTGACATCAGCCAGGACTACAAGATGTATGGCAGATGTAACCTACTTTCACAGTTTTCTTTTTCCAACAAATAAATCTTTTACACAGATTAAAAAGAAAAACTGTGGGGCTATTTCACTGCTCCTTGACTGTGGCCAATCTACTTCACAGAGTTGTTCCAAATATCAAATAAAATCATGTATATGATGTTTCTCTACAAACGGAAAGGGCATTTTATAGTTTATATGCATTAACTTTTACAATCATTACTTCTGGGTAGTGGGTAGCTTCTGGAAGCTGGGACCACATAAAGCAGCCTTGGATGGCTCATCAAGCCCCAAGGAAGATCTTAAAAACTAGTGCCAAAAGGATACAGAAATGGGAGCAACAGTAGTCAACGAAGATATGGAAGAATACACTGAAAACGGAAGAGGTTTTCAAAATCATATAAAAGATTCCTCAAGGCTATACAGAACTCATAGATGAAGAAAAAAAAGTGAGATAAAAAGGGCTTCCACTGAATGTACTGGCAAATGCCTGTAATCCTAGCATTCAGAAGGCTGAGGCAGGAGGATTGCCAAGGTCTGAGGCCTTGGCTAAATGTAGAGTTCAAGGCCAGCCTGAACCACATAGTGAAGCCCTGTCTTGAAAAAAAAATAGAGCTCTCCACGTAAGGGAATGCAAAACTACCTTTCTGTTTTGGAGGTTCATGCACACTGAGCTAAGCCTTTGTTCTCCTAAGTGGGTCCTGCAGTTCCAAGTGCCGCTCACAGTACTTTCAGCTACAACTACAAGATGTCAAAAGCCAAAACACAAACACTCATGTTGGTCCTGGAAATACTGTTTGTTCAAAATTAAGTGCCCACAATGGTTTTAGAATTTAGCTGTACACACAGAAAGCACTGCCCATGCCCTCTAGAAAAATAAGCTAAGAGTAAAAGCAAATCAAAATTTGGCATTCTAAATTGCTCTTATCTAATTCTGGTGATAAACCACAGCTCTGTCCAGATGGCAGAGTTAAGTCTCAGTCGTAAGGCATCCCAAGTGCTTCCCTGGCTAGATCTTAGTGGCAGCGATGGAATAGCAGCAGATAGTGAACAAACCCGCTTTATGAAGCAGCTAGCCAAATGCATCTAGCTTTTGTTTTTGAATAGTGGGCTAAACAAACTGCTTTGTCCTGTCATCCCCGTCATAGATACAGGACCTCTATGTGGAGGGAGACACGGGGCTTACAGGTGGGAAGGAGACTTGTATTGCAAGCACGTGCTCTTCAGTTTGCTCCCCACCCTGCCCTCAGATAGGGCATCAGTGTGACTCGGACTAAAGGGGCTCAGACTGAAAGAGGATTCACTATTATCTTGCACACAAAGGGCTCCCTGAGAACCAGCACATCTGATAGTTCTGTCTCATCACATAAGGACAGAAATTCTCATATGCAGACCAATGAAACTCGAGCTCCTCTCCTGAAGAAGCCACCACCCTGTGATTCTCTGACTTCAGACCATTGTCTCAGAGTGTATCATACAACTAATCACCCAAAAACGGCTAAGGATGGACACAAGCCCTTCTGGTTGAGTCAGAAAGCCCTCTGGACCTCTGACAACAAAATCTACACTGGAAACTAGAGCCACTGTCAGGCTGTTGTAAAAGCAAATGTTGCTTCTCCCTCAAACTTTCTTCCTTCTATCACCCCTGCTCAACAAAGAGGATCTATTCACCAATTAGTAACTGGTCATATATGAAATTTACTATACCCACAAACCAAGTCACGCAAAACTGTACTGAATATTTATATATGAAATATCTAAGTCTTTTTTTTTTTTTTTTTGAGACAGGGTATCACTATGTAGTTGAGACTGACCTGGAACTCACTATGTAGCCCAGGCTGGTCTCAAACTCACAGTGATCCTCCTGCCTCAGCCTCCCAAGTGCTGGGATTACAGGCATGCACCACCATGCCCAGCTGAAATAGCTAAGTCTTGCTTTGAAACAATCCAGTGGTAGGAAGGGGGAGTGGGTTGGGGTTTTACCGAAACAATATTGGCCATGTTGATAACTGTTAAAGCTGGACGATGGGCACAAATGTTCATTGGATTTCTCTTTACTTCTTTTTATATTTGCAATTATAATAATAAATATTTTTCAAACGTAAAGCTGGGCATGGTGGCGCACGCCTGTAATCCCAGCACTCGGGAGGCTGAGGCAGGAGGATCACTGTGAGTTTGAGACCAGCTTGGGCTACATAGTGAGTTCCAGGTCAGTCTGAACTACATAGTGAGACCCTGTCTCAAAAAACCAAAAAAACAAAACAAAATCAAACATAATAAGTACTTTTAAAACATAATAAATATTTTACAAAATTATACTAAGTAAAATCAGCAGTTTCCAGCTGTGTTCAGTGCTCATTTTCATCTCCTAGCAGGAAAAACCCATCAGAGAGTAAAACTCTTTTTCTTGGTGATGACATTAACCAGTTCAACAAATAAGTGGCTTGAAAGAAATCCATTGCTCACATGCAGTATCACCCCTTTGTCCAGTAAACTCTGCTTTTTGGCTGTCATAACGAAATAGTGCGTGTCATCTTTGTAGTAAACGATGTTCTCCAAGTCAATACCTGTGAGCAGAAGACAAATGTGCGTATATAAGAGTTTGCTGACATCAGAGCACCAGGGCAGCCAGGAGATTGTACTTGGGTCTATAGAGAGGGTTGGAAAACTACAGGCAGGAAAGATGTCTAGGCTCAGATTCTAATTGCTTGAACTTGGTTTTTCTTTGTCCCGGTTTGTAATTTACTCAATACCTTAGGTTATCCAGAAATTGATAATCAAAAGTAAATAAAAATATAATGATGGGAAAAACAAAACAAAAGCAAGGCTAACCTCTACAAGAGGGTATGGATTAGCTAACAGATTAAAGCTCTTCGACAGTCATCAAAGAAGCTAGAGAACTTGCTCATATTCTTAAGAATAGAGTAGATTAATGGCAAGATATCAAGTTCTAGAAAACAGAATGAAAATACATTTTTTGATGCATCTGAATATCTAAACCCTTTAAAAGCTACCATCCCTTCTTTCTATGAAGAGGGACAGACGCATGTCAGCCAAGCACTCTGCTGCTGAGCCATACTCCTAGCCCTACACAATGATCTCGTTTCCACCAGGCACACGGTTTACTTTTGAGCTCAAACTGGAACTCAGTAAGAAGACTACACACTTAATAGCTAAAGTCAGGTTCCCAATAAAATGTGAGCTACCAAAAGGCAGCTTGCTGCACCCAGCACCAGAACTTAGCATCACAGTGTAGGGTTAAAGGGATGTGGGGGGAGCGGGGGAGGGATGGAGATGAGTTTGTACAAGACAGAATGAATATTTAAAAACAAGTTTAAAAAAAGGAAAACCTAGGGGCCGGGGATTTAGCTCAGTGGTTCTGCTGCCTGCTTCGCAAGCACAAGAACACGAGTTTGATCCCTGGTACCAAAAAACAACAACAAAAAAGGGAAAACCTAGAACAGCCCAATCAGTGTACTGAGTATAGAAAATACTAAAGCAAGAGATAAATGATGGGTGTATTAGTTACTTTCTTCTCATTGCTGAGACAAATACTCAACAACCAGAGTTAAAGGAGAACGGGTTTATTTAGCCTCACAGTTCAGAGGTTTCACTCCATAATCGGCTGGCTCCAAGACAGGTGGCACATGGCAGGGAGCAGCACTTCATGGTGGGAGAAGACAGCAAAAACAACAAGGGATCTTAACAGCATCTCTCTGCCCCTTTATTCAGACTGCTTAGGGCCTGTAGCATTCACACCCTTAATCCTAGTGCCCTCAGGCCTAGCACCAACAGAAATCAATCACACAGTGTAGATTCAGCCACCTCTGAAAAAACATGAGGCTTTGGGGGACATCTAAACATAAGCCATAACAGAGGAACATTATGCTAGCCACAAAGGTTGATAGAAAGAACAGGGCAGACAACTCCACAGCATCACCAACACCTCCCACCCTACCCACCTCCCAGGAGCAAAGTAGCAACTTCAGTGTCTTTCCTTAGTGCTTAGGAGCCATCGACACCAACCTGTGGCTTCTCGCAGCTCCTGGAAAAATTTTTGGTTGAATATAAAGGCCACGCCACTAATCTCTTCCACTTTGGCTTCTGCAGTTGTATTTCGATTAATAAAATTTGCCGTAATGGCAATTGCTAGTTTGCCACGGAATTCTTTTCGACGAAAACCTTGAGGGAGAGAAATGATCAGAGGTGACAACAGTGAGCTGGAGAAGGAGGAGGTCTGCTTCATGTGAGGAGGTTGTTGATGAAGCCACTAGGGAAAGTGGGCGACACGAGTCAATGGATTTTAGGGTAGATCTCCATTTCGAAAGAAGCTGCTTTTCCACCAAAGATTATAGTAATTCTCCACTATTATTAATAAACCTTCTGAAGTCTGACTGACCAGAATATTATTCAGTCCTGGAAAGTCCATTTGAAAAGGGAGGGAGGGGGCTCAGTCAGCTTATTAACACATAGGTTAGATCCTGCAGGGCCAACCCTTCTAAGTACAGCTCATCTCGTAGGGCACTAACAGAGTGGCATTGTCTGGAGGAAGGCCTGATACCATACAGTTAAAACAGGTAGCACAGGTGCACATTCGTAAGGCTATGGACTCTGGAGACAGGGCCAGCTTCCACTGTGCTAATATACCAGGTAGCTTTTAGATAGTTTAGATACTTAGACTCATCAAAACTAGTACCTTCCAAGGTGTTCCTACGGCCATCTCCACCGATGATCACTTCAAATTCAAACTCAGACACAGGATGAGTTTTGGGATGCACTAGTGCTCGCCATCCTATCCCTGTAAGCCAACAGTAAAGTAAAGGTCATCACCTCTAAGCACCATCTGTAAGACTCGGGACTGTACCAAATCTCAAGCCAAAAACAATAAGCCAGACAGCAACAAGGTTTGCAGAGAGCTCACAGTTTTCCACCTTTTAATTCTCTGTAATACAAATGTCTGCAAAGTTTAATACTTCATCAAAAGGCTCCTCAGGAAACCAAAAGTCCTAAAGAGCACAGACTGTATAAACAAAAAGCACCTTTAATTCATTCTCAAAACTGCTTGCAGATTCTTCTCATTTTCTCCCCTGTGCTCATCCTTGATCACCTATCTAGTACCCTTTTATGCCTTGTCCATTTGTCTAATCCAACTTACGTTCATTCTCTTGGTCCTCAGGAGGCTGTACAAGTCCTTGGAATTCCACATTGACATGGATTTCAATGCCCAAGATCAAAGCTACTTTTAAAAGTATTAGCTGGAGCTGACGGATACCTGGGTGAATATAAAGACAGGTTTAGCAAAGGGTATGTGGAGCAGAGATACCCATCAGTGGTCACTCCTTAGGCTCCCACCTATCCACCTGTCCAGAGTCCACTCAGGTTCCCAGAGCCATTTGTGTGGGCTGGACTGTATGTAGCTCAGTGGTAGAGCTCTTGCCTAGCAAGCACCAGGCCCTGGGCTCAATCTCTAGCCCTGGACACAAAAGGTTGGGGTGGGGGGTTGGGGGGCAGAAATAAACCCAAACATCAAAAGTCTTCTGTAGTAGGAGACATTCTCCAAGTCATAATTTAACTACTTCTTTTTAAGGGTAAATGCAAACCAGTGGAAGAGATTTCTACTCGTGTAAGTATACCCTCATCTCTTGAGTGGGATGCTCTGAACCTAAAATTCAGAGACACGTGGGATTGTGGCCGACAGGAGACTCCCTTTCGTCTTCCACAATCCAGTACCAGCAGTGACTACAGTGCTGACAGGACACAGGCCCTGCTGCAGGACACAGGGAGGCAGGCCTGAGGGCATATGTTCCACAGCTCCATGCCATGCCGCTTCCCGTTACTTCATGAATGCCTACTGCAGTGTCCCTAACTTCATACGCCTTTACCATGTGAGAAAGGGAAATCATAAGGCTACCACTCCCCTCCTACTACCGGCCTACACTTGTGGAAACCGAAGCCTAAAATGACTGGGAATCTTGCTTACTCTCATGGTGCAATTTATATATTTATTCAATGCCCAGTGAGTCCCTACCTGGTGCCAGACGGGGCAGCAATACCAGGTACAGAGAAATAGAAATCTAGCTCCTGGTCTAAAACCCTCTCAGTCCCAAAATAAATTCTGCCACACACAAAGGAGACAAAGAGTGTGAATTAGTGACCCTTAGGCTTCTCTTAAGGCCAAATGTACACACTGTCTATCATAACTAATCTTCCAGGAGCACATGCACACCCTTCCCTGCCATCGGGCTATTTCCCTCAGCTTACCACAGCCACCACCCTTCCTTCTGAGTCACATGTGCAATTAAGTCATGTGTGAGCACACATTTTATTTCTGAAACTGTAGGTTCCAAGATACTTCACAAATTGCAGCCTGGCAGATGGGCAGAGCACTTCCACTGCTAGTGGACTGTGGCAGCTGTCCGCCAGTGCCTAATAAAAGGGCATAACCACTTCACAAAGCAAAAGGTCCAGTGGTTGAATGAATTTACAGGACACATCTAGAGGAGCTCTGAACAAAAGCTCCTTGATAAAACTTCCCTGGAATCATTAGTGATGATCAATTTTTAAAAAGAAGAAAAGACTTGGGCTGGGGATTTAGATCAGTGGCACTGTGACTGCCTCACAAGCACAAGGTCCTGAGTTTCAATCCCTGGTACCAAAAGCAAAAGCAAAACAAAACAAAACAAAATTTTAAAAAAGAGAAGAAAACACTTCATAATACAGACATTGTTTGGAAGTGGTTTTCAGATAGGCCACTTATACAAAAGAGAAATCCCTGACTGCATTAACTTGTATTCACCTATCTCAAAAAGCTATCAGCCCAACTGAACTTGGAGATGACATGAAGACATCCAGAGGTGTTCTGGCTGCAGACTTCAAAAGAATCACCTAACCAGATGAATCCTGCAGTTGATCTGTCATTCACGATCAAGCTAGGGCTCTGCTTCCTCTGTAAGTATGGCTTCCTTAGGGCTGTGTCCCCTCCCGACAGCATTTGCTCTCACAGCAAAAGAGCGTATGCAGGGTCAAACTGCAGAGAGCCATAGCCCGTGTACTTCTGCAGGCCTGGTCCCCTGTCTGCCCACACACCACAAGTTCTCAGAGTTCATGATCCCACTCAGACATCCCAAAGCCAGACTCCTAGCATAGGGCACACATTGTAGTTCAGAGTGTTAGCTTATAGAACCACTGGTGGTAGATATTTTTGACTCCAAGCAGAGGGTGAGGGCTACATGATGGATACCAATGAGATCAGAACAAATTGGGCTATGGAGTAGGATTCTTCACATAACTGATCTGTCTCTTGTCTACTCAACAAGTGTGCAGGGGTGGAATACTATAGGAGAGCTGGTATTACTCACTGATATGGTCGATGGCTCCAGCACAGAACTTGCCATAGAACTTTTTGGCACCCAGACCTCGTAGATCATGTATGGTGAAGGGCCAGAGATGCAGGACATTGTTGCGGGAAAAGGCATCTCGCTTCTCAATAACAACGACCTTGGCTCCCAATAAAGACAAGTCAATGGCTGTGCGGAGACCACAGGGGCCAGCTCCAATGATGAGACACTGAAAAACACAGTTGCTTTCAGGGCCAATGCCAAATTTCTCAAAACATGTTTCTAGAGAAGTGTCATGATCTCATAACCATCGATCCCAAAAGCCCTCCACCAGGACTATTCTCCCATTCCCATGAAACCTTCAAACCTGCCTTGGTCCCAGCAGAGCACCTTCAATGACTTGAAAGAAGAGCTCACAGTTGCTGTGGGTGGAGAAGACTGAACTGTAAGAGCTACAGGTAAGCCCAGCCTTGACAGCCTGTATGACCCATAGATCTGCAACACACTAAAATGGGTCAGCATCCCAACAAATGACACAAAAACCACATCTGATCTTTTATCAACAGGCAAGCTTCAAGTCCTGGAATAGTTCTACCACACAAATGACTCTCAGACAGCAACTCTGAAGGCCGAAATTTTCATGTTCTGTAAAGAGTTCTAAAGTCATCATTTCTAGATCAAAAGTCCAGGGAAATGCTCTTAAAAGTCCATGTTCTAGTACTCATGCTAAGGCTGTACACTGATCTTAACCAGTTTGCATTATACGCACAGAAAGAAGACAAGCAACACTTTTGGCTTTGCATTCCTTCTATTCTTAATGAAATCCAATACTCACTCATAAAAGTCATGCCTTGAAATACTCTGAATATCGCTGATGAATAGCTATTCAAATATAAATCTACCGGAGTGGGTCTCTGGGTGTCCGCAAAGCGTAAGCTAATGCTCGTGAGAAGACAAAATTACACAGCCCCAGAGTCATTTCCAAGTTTGTTTCCTTGCTGGGTTTTTCCAACATCTCAGAGATGTTCTTGTAAGAAGGGACCCAGGAAATACATCTCTCTTTCCACACCTTCACATGTAAATGTACACCTCAGGTCTCTGTGGCAGCCTGTCTCAAAGAAACCCTGTTTCTCTACATTGTGAAGAAAGCAACAGAAACACTTCAGTTCACAAGGTCCCCTGCTTATGAACCAAAACCAGACTTTTGGGATATGGAGAGAGACGGTCTGAAGCTTGTGGAAAATCCTTACTAGGTACTGAGTATGATACGGACGACGTTCAGATGGGACGATGGGGCCTGGTATGTCCTTGCTAAGTGACTTGCACCTTCCTAACAGTACAAGGTTCAAAACAGAGCACTGGCAAAGTAAGTTTCTATCCACCTGTCTTCAAAAGTCTTCTTAAATAGCTGAAACTTTGTTCAACATGTAAATACACAGAATATGCTCAGCTACATCTGGCACATGAATGAATACTCAAAGAAACACAGGTAAAAGATCTACAAAGTTTCAATAAGATCTAAGTTTGACTTCTGAGGTTAGGTTAACTCTAGACTCTGCCTGGTTCTCATTCAAATCCACCTCCACTCAATCCGCCCCCCCTTTTTTTTAATCCCTTAAGTTTTTTTATTTTTTTTAAATTTTCTTTTTAGTTTTCTTGAGACCAGTTCTCATTAGGTATCCCAGGCTGGCCTTGAACTCACAGCCATTATTCTGCCTCAGCCTCCCAATGCTAGGATTACAGGCGTGCGCCACCACACTCCACTCACTCAATCCTTCTTGCTGACACCTGGTTAAATCCTCATGCTGGTGAAACCAGGACCCAAGAGCAGCTGAGCTCCTACCTTGGTGTTAGTGCATGCTTTTCCCTTTTTGTAATCTTTGTGACTTCCCCGTTTGTCCAACTTTGCCCAGAGGGCTTTGGCTTTCCAGTAGTTGAGTTTGGACTTGAGCTTGTGGTAGAAGGAACGGTAGTCCTTAGGCTTCAGCTCCAGGTGCTCACAGAGTTCTTGGAAGGCCTTGAGCGTTCCCTTGCATGTGGTAGCCTGGACGAACCGGTCAAAGAGGACGTGAGCCGGGTTCACCGTCTCTTGCTTACTCTCCTCCATGCTCCCCGACTCTCAGCACCCCTCAACAGAGGGGGCAGTGGGCTGGCTACTGACCACCCAACGCTGTCACCTTAACCTAACAAAAAGAAAAAAAGAAAAGAAAGGAATGTTCAGTATTTCTGTATCTGTAGACATCTTCTAGGAGACATATCCTTTCCCAAAGCAGAGTTATCAGGCGATAACACTCATCCATTCAGCACACATATACTGGAAGATGCCAGGGGTAGACACAGGAGTCAGACAAGCCCTTGCTTTCAAAGGCCTGAGGGTGCAGTGGGTCAGACTGACACACAAACAGAACATTACAATGTGCTATAGAGAAGTGCCACAGACAAAGGTACAGCAGGGAAACCAAGGCAGGTCCTCACTGAAGATACACCGCTGAGAAGAGACTGCAGAGCCCTTCAGGATAACATGTTAGTTGGGCGGGAAGAAGTGCAGGGCACGGGAAGGAAAGTAACAGGCAGGCTTGTGAGGGATGATGACACATCAGAGTCAAGAATCATTCCTGGTATTCTGGGAAATGGTGGCAGCAAGGCAACGGATTAGAAATAGAAGCAGTCAGGTGTGAGGGTGGGGCATGAGTGTCCTTCTCCACCTCTCTCTGAACTCCTTAGGTGGAGGTGCTCATCAGGCACGGAAAAGGAACATGAAGGTCAGGGGAGTGGCTGCGGACACACGTCAGGTCTGGGAGCTGTTAGCATTATGAGTAGTAGAGGAACTCCTGAAAGCAGGCATCTATGGGTGGAGAGGATGAGATAGAGAAGCACCAACCTGAAAGAGGCTAGCAAAAAGAATGCCAGAAACAAGAGAGAGGTCTGAGGAACGTAAAGAACAGTGTGATAGGAGTCAAAGAAGCAGGAAGCCCAGATGAAAAGTCAGCAAGGACTGAAAGGACTCAGAAAGCCTCCTACCTGGGTGGGGATATAATCCTGCACTCTGGGAAGCTGAGGCAGGAGGATGGCAAACAGAAGGAAAGAGGGAGAAGGGAGGGGAGAGCAGGGAAGGAAGCCTTCTCTAGCATGTGGCACACACAGGGGAGAGGTTAGGGCCATCCCATTTTGCCCACGATTGTATTGGACAGTAACACTGATGACGCCCATACTCTCCCCTTATCAGACACATCCATACATCTGTGTCCTGCGTGCCTGCTGGACAGAGGCCCGCAGGCTGGAGATGGCACCCATGTGCTCCTTCACCTACTCCCTCCCCTGGGCCATTCATCACTTCTGTACCACACTTACTTATCATCACTGTTAGAGCTATGTTTTGGAGCTAGCATGCAAAGGGCCAAAGACCAAGACTAAGCCACAGGAAGAACAGAGTATAGGACAGGGCCACACAGTGGGCACGTCCATGGCTTGGGGCTACAGGGCCCCGCAAAAGTCACTGTGCCCAATTCTTCCTTGCGGAAATTTGAGGAAAGAATGATGATCTCTGAAACGCTCTTCCGGTTCCAAAGCTCTCCTAGTCTAGTCCCAAGGAAATTCTCCGGACTCACTCCTGGTGCTCTAGCTGCAATGGCCCCTCGCAGCCTCCATTTTACCTCTAGTGTGGCAAGCATGACTGGGTTGGGACTTTGCTTTGAGGAGAATTTACTCTTGGGCCTGAGGGAATTACTGACACACTGCTAGGGTGTGTGGGTGTGGGTGGGTGTGTGTATGTGCATGTTCACAAAAGCTGAACCAATCTAAGGTTAAGGGAGGCCTCAAGTTGCAGGCGATGAGGAAACCAGTCTTCAGGAGAGGAAGCAAGCTCCCCCGGACATGGACGAGACCCAGGATTCTGGCCTAAAGCAAATCCTTGTGCAACAGAGCCCCTGCTGTAAAGGTGAAATAACGCTGCTTTTCTCCATCCTCATCATGGTATTAAATAATCACACCAAATCATCTGAAGACATGTCTGGATAGAAAGTAGTAACTACAGGGCTGGGGATTTAGCTCAGTGGCTCTGCTGCCTGTCTGGCAAGCGCAAGGTCCCGAGTGTGATCCCTAGTACCAAACCTCACCCTCCAAAAAGAAAGGAAATAGTAACTACAGGAACCACCAGCCCTTTGTGTGTTCCATGTCAATGGACACAGTGCTCTGTGGGTACTGGGACAATGAGTCACATGGTTAGTTGCTTTTTTTTGGTTTTTGTTTGGATTGAACTCGGGTTCTTGTGCTTGCAAGACAGGCTGCGGAACCACTGAGCTAAATCCCCGGCTCATCAGATGGTTAATTCTTTACCTGAAACACTGTCTTGGCTTCTCACCTAAGGATATTACTTGCTCACCAACCCCTCTTGGCTCTGGATACTAGAAACTATACTTCTAATAACACGCTTGTTCTAAAATCCATGTGGTCAAAAGTTCAGTAAGAAATGGAATTAGAGGGCTGGAAATGTGGTTCAGTGGTAGAGCACTCACTTACTGTGTGTTCCATCCCAGGAGAAAGAATGGGGGGGGTGGAGGGGTGAGGTGGGGGCAAAAATTGTGGGGAGAGAAGATGGCTCTTGAAGGGGTAGAAAAAAACTAGACGTACTTAAGCAAAGACAGAAGAAAGGGTGGCAGGTAACAACAAATGACTGTAAACAAAGATTCACGCAGCATTTGCTACTTCAAGGCCCTCGGCCTTTCTGTGCACAGATCTCAGCAAAGCAGACAGCACTGTGCAATCCTGAACCCGAATTCCCTACCTGTGTTGACAATCAACCCTAACTTTGCCAGATTCACAGTGAACACTTTGGCAAACTTTGAACATACCTGTCTGGTTTACCTCATGTCAAGAAAGAAAATGTTTTTCTTTGTTCATAAACAGCAGCCACCTCCTACTTCCTGCCAGGATTCAGAGTACTTGGGAACAATGAGATTCCTGCTGAATCTACCACATTCAAGATCCCACACCACATCTTTCTAAAGGCCTCTCCCCGGTCCAAACACCTGCCTGTGGTCCTACCTCCCCCCTGAAAGATCTCTCGGGCATTTATTTCCAAACCAGAGTTCTGCCGTGTGTGTGCTAATATCCCCATGGCTGCTTGTGGCCCACTCTGAAATACATATGCACTCACTGCCCAAGAACTGCTTACCTCTACAGAGGATTTCCAAATCAACTCCCACCACGGACGAACGCCTTCATTAGTAACTACACCTGATCTTTCTGTGGCTATAAATCGCTTTCAAATTAACAGGTTTCATGTGGATGCAAAGCACTTTTAAATTAACAGGTTTCAGCTGCAGCTCCTGGAGAGCACAGGCAGGCAAGTATTAGGTACCCAGGCTAAGGATCATAACCTGCAGGGCACTAATGACAACAGATAAACACAGGCAGGTTAGTTCCTGGCACAAGGCAACAGGCACCTAAGGTAAGACTACACGAGGCTGAGTCCCCTGGGCTGCCTCACTTTTCCTCCTTTGCGAGCAAGACAACACAAAAGTTGAGAGTGCCCAGTTACTCTGTGGCTCTGCCACCAGGCACCTGGCTCATCTGCAGGACTTACCCAGTGCTCTGACTCACTCCAAGAACAGCTGGGAAGATGGCAGAAGGGCCATTCCTGTGACTGCCCCCATTTCCCAAGGACAAAGCCATATCTTCTCCTCCTGGCTCTCCTCTCCTGGCCTACCCCTGCATACTATTTATCATAGTATCCTGGAAAAATCAGCATTCATAATCACAGGAACACAGAGACCAGGAAACCTAGCCAGAGGTCCCCAGGACGGAAAATCCAAGGTGTAGGATAAGGGCTCAGGGAAGTGAGGAGCCGGAGGAGGAATGCAGAAGAATTGGAGAGGCCAGGTTTCCAGAGCTTCTGTGGTTTCTGCTGGCTGACAATCCCTGCATGTTTTGTCTCGTGGCAGCTGACTGCTGACTCAGACCGTTTACACATTCCTTGGCTGAGGAGGAAAGTGCTGGGGGTCAGACGGCCCAGGAAGCACACGCAGGAACAGGGTTCATGCTTCTATTTACAGCAAGAGTAAAGGTTGTCCCTGACTCATGGCTGCTATGTGAACAATCAATCTCTAGCTAGCTTTTAGAATAAGTGAGTGGTTGTTTGGAGAGTTAGGAAGGAGAATTATTTCTAAAACAGAGAAACAAAATCAACATAGTAAGAATTGCATTTTGAGAGAAAGGAGCAGAGTGATTTTAGGTCCTTTTTCTCCCCTGCCCCAGCACCATTAGTAAATCTGCAGGTATGCAACCTCCTAATCTTAAAAAGGAACCTATGGAATGCTCTTTCCCAGCCCATGCAGTGAGAGGTGTGCTGTGTGCACACAGATCGTGGAAGCAGGTGTATAGAAATGCTTGTTTTGGAATGCTGTTAGGAGGAAACTTATGCATAAAAGGTGTTTCAGATTACTCAGCTTCCCTCATGTTTTGCCTTAGAAACAGGAACCCAAATCACAAAGTGCCTCAAATTCTTGGGTGACCATGCTGCTGCTGTCTATGGATGAGGACACTAAGGCCCTGACTTGGAGGTCAGCAAGCTGACTGAAGGGAAGCCTGCCTGAGTGTCACTCCTCGTCACTTCTACCTCTGCTTCTCAACTCCATTATCTCTGACAACTCTTAGCTAAGGTTCTCTGGTACCTGGAAAGTGAGCTCAAAATAGCATGGAGAATGGTCTTCCTCATTCCCCCTCAATTGTTGGTTTCATTGTGGTAAAATACACATACAATAAAATCCCAACCTTAACCATTTTGGTCGTTTGAGATAGGATTTTACTTTATCACCCAGACTGGCCTTGAGCTCCTGGTTCTCCAGTGATCCTCCTGTCTCAGCCTCCTGAGTGGCTGGGACTACAGGGACATCTCACTGTGTTTGACTCGTCTTAACCAACTTAAGAACACAGTAGTGCTACTAAACACAGTTGTAACTGTATGCAGTCGCCGCCACCACCTCTCTGCAACTCAACATTCACACCTATGAACAACAGCTCCCCATTTCCCTTTCAACTAGCCTTTGGTAACCACTGTTCTGTCTCTACATTTTTACTATTCTAAGTATATCATATAAATGGAACCATACAGCTATTTGCCTTTTATGATTGGCTTATTCAACACAGCACAGTGTCCTGAGGTTTATTCACATTGTAGCATACT